ATTTTGGTGAAAAAAGTTGTGAAATCCATGCAGTTTTTTCATGATATGCATTTTCCATGAATTCTTTTTTTTCTGTAGATCCCTAGAAAGTGTGGGCAGAGATATGTAGAATACAACGAGGTGCTCACAGAACTTCAGGCCTTAGAGACTAGGATGACTTAGTTCAGTCTGATGAGGAACTTGGCTTGAAGAGGACAGGAAGCCAGGTCTAACTCCCCAAACTGAGCTCTCTGCACATGGCCACGTTATGTCTCTGCCTTTTCTACTCATACCCTGCTGCTTGCTTTCCTTTGAACCTAGTGCAGCCTTTTCTTCCTTTTTATTATTTTTAAGATTTATTTATTTACTTGAAAGTCAGAGTTACAGAGAGAGAGACACACACAGAGAAAGATCATCCATCCTCTAGTTCACTCCCCAAATGGCTTCAATGGCCCGGGCTGGGACAGGCTAAGCCAGGAGCCAGGAGCTTCTTCCAGGTCTCCCATGTGGGTGCCAGGGGCCCAAGCACTTAGGCCATCTTCTGCTGCTTTCCCCAGGCCATTAGCATGGAGCTAGATCAGAAGTGGAGCAGCCAGGACATGAACTGGTGCCCATATGGGGTGCCGGTGTTGCAAGTGGTGGTTTTACCTGCTGTGCTATGAGGCTGGCCCCACTTAGTGCAGCCTCTTGAGCTCCCAGGTAATAGCCAACTTGCTGAGAGGCTTTGGGACTCCCTGGATAGGCAGCAGCCTTGAGGGATGACTGCTCGGCTGGCCTTTGGCCTATATTGTGTTTTCCCTTCTGCAGAGCTCAGTCCTCCCACTCTGGGGTCCAACTTCCTTTTTTGACTTCCGCTAGGTCCTGCCACAGCCCTCTAAGCTGGGGGCATCACAGCCTTTGATAACAACTAGAACTATGGGTAACAGGAAGGGAAGGAAGTCTGCAAATGGCTAAAGTGGCTCCTGGGATTTAGGAACTAGACCCCGGAGGCAAATGCGGTGCACAGGGATGAGGCAGGAAAGGGAGGAAGCCTGGGAAGGAGTGTGCCAGTCACTGTGCTGGGTACACCTGTCCATGTAACAATATCTTATTTCATCCTTAGGTAGAGTATTGGCACATTTCAAAGATGAGGAAACTAAGGCCTAGAGAAAGAAGCAGGATTGGTCTCCAGCTGGCAAATGTGTACACTTAGGAATCCAATACAGCCGCTGGCTCTGTTATGGAGATATGGTCCCACATGTCTGCGATAGAATGAGGACTTGACTCAGCTCCAGGTAGCACTGCCTGGGTTTTAGGGCCAAAAGCTCGTCAGAGTTTTCTGCACAGTTCATTCTCACTACCACATTCAGATGCCACCTTGCATGCACTCAGCCTTGATGCCTGTTGGGCTGACACCTGGTAGCAGTTATGCCTAATGGGACTCTATTCCTTCCATCCTAATTAGTTGACTCTCTTCCTTAGCCAGCTCATGCACTGCCCAAGAACACCCATGTCCAGTGCCCTTCATGGTATAATGTGCAAGGAGTATTCCAATGTTTGGATACAAAAAACTGCTGCAATTAGCTCCAAACCCCAGGAAATAGGCAATCAAATTAGCCAGTGAGTATGAAAAGCAAAGCAGATTATAATTAATTACCTGTGTTTCTACCAGGTGTGTCTTTAGCCATGCGATGTATCAATGTGTTTTCTGTTTTCTTTTTTTTTTTTCCTAAGTAAAGAGCTAGTCTTAGAATTATAGGATCTTGGGGCCAGCACTGTGGCATAGTGGGTAAAGCTGCTGCCTGCAGTGCCAGCATCCCAAATGGGCACCAGTTTGAGACCCGCTGCTCCACTTCCGATCCAGCTCTTTGATGTGGCCTGGGAAAGCAGAGAAGATGGCCCAAGTCCTTGGGCCCCTGCATCCGTGTGGGAGACCCGGAAGAAGCTCCTGGCTCCTGGCTTCTGATTGGTGCAGTTCCGGCCGTTGCGACCAATTAGGGAGTGAACCAGCGGATGGAAGACCTCTCTCTCTCTCTGCCTCTCCTTCTCTTTCAGTGTAACTATGACTTTGAAATTAATAAATCTTAAAAAAAAGAATTATAGGATCTTGAATGCAAACTGACCAAGCCTAAGTGGACTCAGGTCCCCTGTCCAGAGGAGGATCCTCAATGAGCCACTTCCCTCCACCTAGGTTCCTCCTGGGCAGATAAAGCCTCCCAGGTAGGGTGGAGAGAAGACACCCAGCTCAGGGCCAGCACAGCTTTGCTGTGATCCAGGGCCAGAGGGCAGGCCTTTCTCTGCAGAGCCATCTCCATTCATTCCAGTGGCTTTTCTGAGGCTGGCTAGGCAAAGCCCCTTGGTGCCAGATCAGCACTCCAAGGGCCATGTGCTCTAGGCCCCGTTGCCTACCCCCAAACTAATAACTTGATCCTCACTCTGCTCTAAACAAAAGTTCCCACAGAGGGCCACCAGATCCAAAGCCAACTGCTATCTGGATGATCTGAGTCTTGTTTATGTCCAGGAGACGGGAAGCTGAGAGGGGAGAGGAGCGGCAGGGCCCTTATTCTACATTCAACTGAGTTCAAGGTGACACGCAGTTTGCGGGGACTGTGGGCATCACCTTTCATCAGATGTCTGGGGCTTCACTGCTGCCCACACAGATGTCACAGGAAGATCATGTGCTCTGACTTTTCCACTGCACGGGGCAGGGGACTGAGCTTAGAGCAGAGAGGTGACTTAAGGTCATGATGAGTGGGTGCAGTTTCCCTTAGGATCCAGGATCTTCTGACTGACAGTGGTGCAGTCCTGTGGGAAGACTGAGCAGGTGGTGGAGCCAAGGTTCTCGTCCTGACTGTCACAGTGTGACCTTGGGCAAGTCTTTGAACCTTCCAGGGACCCTGGAAAATGGAAAGGGGCATACCATCCAGTTGTAGTATCCTACGTATTTCTGTGGCTATGGGTTCTCTTCTACCCAGCAGAGGGCAGAAGTTAGGCTGTTTCCTTAGCCTGAAAGCACAGGTGTGGGCTGCCCATGAAGAGCAGCCTGTGGGGAGGGAGAGAGGGAAAAGATGCCAGATCCCAAATTAGGAGTCATGCCTCCTGCATTGGAACTTGGCCGTTTCAACTCCAGCACCTCTGTACAAGTTCACTCTACCTTGTTCTAGCTTGAAGGAACCACTCTCAATTTTCCTTTAGCATCTGCAAAGGATTGGTTCCAGGACCCCCTCAGACACCAAAGACCAGGTATGATCTTGTACAAGATGGCATAGTATTTGCATATAACCTATAGACATTCTCTTCTATACTCTAGATCATTTGGATGCTATGGACATAGTTGTTATATTGTATTATTTAGGTAAAAAAGAGTCTACATAGTCAATACCTCCCCCCTCCTTTTACAAAAATATTTTCCATCTGAGGTCAGCTGAACTCACAAATGTGGAGGGCTGACCATACTCTCTCTGAGTCCCTCTGCACGGCTGCTCTCCCAGATGCATCACAGGTCGGTTCCCCCAGTTACTGTTCTGTGTCCAGTAGACAAAAAAACCCAAAGAGAATGATTATTCAGGGAAATGAGATGTTAGTGTCAGCTTACAGAGCAGGCAATTTTCTGGAGAAGAGCAAAGGCTAGAAGGCCATCTTCACTCCCAGAAAGGCATCCCATGACGTCCAGGAAGAGCCTCATTCCCCTGTAGTTTGGCTTTCTTCACACTTGACAGTGACCTTGGGCGTTTCCCTCACTATTGTCTGCACAATCATTCCCTTAGAGCTGGACTGACCGACAGGCAAACCACTGGCCACATGCTAAATAAAACCAAGACGTCAGTCCCTTATCACATCGGCCAGTTCATGTACCAGTAGCTACCATTTTGGGCAGTGGAGATGTGGGACACTTCCCCCATGAAAGAAAGCTGCACGGGAAACAGCTCCAAGGTCAGGACTTTGCCTTGTTCATTACTAGACCTCAGGCAGTGAGGGAAGCACTTGGCACATAATTGACACCTTTTTTTTTTTTGGATAGTTTGTGATATTTTTCTTTAAGATTGATTGATTGATTGACATTTTATATATATATATATATATATATATATATATATATATATATATATATGAGAGAGAGAGAGAGAGCGTTCCCATCTGCTAATTCACTCCCCAGATGTCTACAATGGCCAGGGCTGAGCCAGGGCCAAAGCTGGGAGCCAGGAATACAATCCAGGTCTTCCATGTAGGTGGCAGGAACCCAACTACTTGAACCATCACTACTGTCTCCCAGGGTCATATTAGCAGGAAGCTGGAGTTGGGAGCTGGAACTGGGGATGGGACCAGGTATTCTGACATGGGATGCAGGTGTCCTAACTGCTAAGTCAAATGCCTGCCCTAACTCTCTTTCTTTCTTTCCTTTTTTAAAAAGACTTATTTATTTATTTCAAAAGGCAGAGTTACAGAGAGGCAGAGGCAAAGGCAGAGCCAGAGAGAGAGAGAGAGAGATTGAAAGAGAGAGAGAGAGAGAGAGAGAGATTGAAAGAGAGAGAGATCTTCCATTTGCTGGTTCATTCCCCAAATGTCTGCAACAGCCGGGGCTGGGCTGATCCGAAGGCAGGAGCTTCTTCTGGGTCTCCCACGTGGGTGCGGGGGCCCAAGGACTGGGGCTATCTTTTACTGCTTTCCCAGGCCATAGCACAGAGCTGGATTGATAGTGGAGCAGCAGGGTCTCGAACTGGCGCCCATGTGGGAAGCCGCCGGCACTGCAGGTGGCAGCTTTCCCCGCTGTGCCACAGTGCTGGCCTCAACCCTGTCTTTCCTAATGCCCCTCTTGCTCCACATCATGACATGTTCTTCCACACAGGCTTGCTGTCTTATCGCCTGGTGTGTCTTATCTCCTTAGCAACCATAGATAACCCACAGAGAACTGTTCTTGGTCAGTGCTTGCTACCTGAGGAGTTGCTAGGGATGAGGCAGGATGGTTGACCTGCAGGTTTAGATGAGGTCAGATAGAGCGGGGGAGAGGTGAGCCAGTAAGAAAATTAGGTTGGAAAAGGCAGTTTAACCAGCTTTGTACAGGTGGACTGTGCTTTTCCTCTATGGATTCCATTTTTTCTTACAAAAACCTCAGATTCCTTGTTTATTGATAATTCATTTCTCCTTTTTTTTTTTTTTATTATTTAGGCTGAAACATTTCCAGCCCAAAGAACCATAGATAGAGTTTTAATGCAGCTGTACTCTCCAGATCTGACTCCCTTTTGTTGCAACACTGGTCTCACCGTGGATCAGATCTGCATGATTCTTCCTTCTCATGTAGAGAAGGCTGGCATGGCGAAGAAGAGGCCTAGTAATGACGGGTGTGATGTGGAGTCCAACAACTTCAAAGTGGCATTCTAAGGAGAAGTGGGGCATCATTATCAGCCAAGATGAGTTGGCAAGATGAGCCCAGGCTCCCTGTCCAATGCAGGCGACCTGGGTGTGTGACCCCAGCCTCCACCCCTTCATAATGAACACCATTCTCCTGGGAGAACAGAGGTGCAGCTGGGCCACACTGTCGGTGTCAGGCCTCGGCCAGCACAACAGTCCTGGCTGAGTACAAACAGAGCCAATTAAAACACCTAATTATACAGCAGACTGGAGCCAGCAGGTGGCTTTGTGGAAGCCAGCTGACAGCCAGACTGCCAGCACCTCCCGGACAAGTCACAACTGGTCGGAGCCTGGAATGAGCCTCAGGTGGACAGACCCTGGAGGGCTGGGAGGGACCCGAAGGAGCCGAGTCCACCGAAGTCTCATTAGCTCCTCGGGCTGTGACAGCCCTCCCCCCAGGAGCTTCCAGAAGACGGTCCTTTGAGCAAGAGAAGTGGGCTTTCACTCTGGGGGGCCCTGCTGTCTCACCTGTAGAACAGCGTCATGTCCAACGTGGGACTGTGATGAGATCACTGCTGGAAGTGTGACCTACAAGGTGCTTGTTCTCGGCCAAGCACTGCAGTAGATGACGCAGTGTCCTCCCAAGTGAGAGGCAGGGGAGCATGGTGATCAACCTAGTCCAAAGCCTGAGCATGGAGTACAGTGCTTCCTGCCTGCCTGCCTGCAGGTGCCCGTCTCTCTTGCCAGATGTTCACCCAATTCTAGCTCAGTGACCACACTGTCAGTGCTCCATGGACCCTACTCAGTGATAATGAAATGTGTTGCTGTATCTTTCCTCCCAGCATCTCAAAGCGCGGTTGTCTGCTTCTCCAACCTTCCAAAGAGGATGACTGGAGGGATAAATACTCGAAGTTTATTGGCGGACAACAGGGGCTCCATGTTCAAGTGACTTGTCCCCAGCTCCCCTAGGCTGACAGCAGAGGAGCTCTGACTAGGACCTGAAAACAAAAGCAGGCCACTGGCTCAGTCTCGATGTGCCACAAAATGCAGAAGTGAGATTAGCAACCACCAGGTGAATCACTTCCTCCGACTCCTCAGGGAAGAACAGCTTCCCCCTTTCTTTACACTGTAAGAGAATGGCTGGGCTGTGGCCCCCTACTTCATGAGGGTGATGTAATTAGGCAGGTGCCTTTAGCAAGCAGAGCACTGGCTGAGCGGAGAGGTTTGCACGCAGGTGTAGAGAATGCCCCACCCCCCTAACCAGCCTGAGAAGTATGCCGGAAGGAAGGAAGATCGGGACCCTGCAATTGAGCCCCATCTCAGCAACGGGCATTTGGGACGGACACAATCCCTGACTGAGAAACACAGTGACTACGAGCCAAGGCTCTGGCTTCGAGGCTTGCCTATGCTACTTACTGACTGACAGTTGGGGAAAAACCACTTTGGGCATTGGTATGACATCATAAAAGTAGAAGAATGGAGCCGGCGCCGCGGCTCACTAGGCTAATCCTCCGCCTTGCGGCGCCGGCACACCAGGTTCTAGTCCCAGAAGGGGCACCGGATTCTGTCCCGGTTGCCCCTCTTCCAGGCCAGCTCTCTGCTGTGGCCAGGGAGTGCAGTGGAGGATGGCCCAAGTCCTTGGGCCCTGCACCCCATGGGAGACCAGGAGAAGTACCTGGCTCCTGCCATTGGATGAGCGCGGTGCGCCGGCCGCAGCACACAGGCTGAGGCGGCCATTGGAGGGTGAACCAACGGCAAAGGAAGACCTTTCTCTCTGTCTCTCTCACTGTCCACTCTGCCTGTCAAAAATAAATAAATAAATAAATAAAAAGTAGAAGAATGCTGATCATGACACAACGTTATCATTTAAGCTAGAGCACAGTGTGGAGTAGTGGTCAAACCCATGGGGCCGAGTGATGGGCAAACCTGGAGTTGAATTCTGTTCAGCTGCTCACCGGTGGTGTGGCTCTTGGGTAACCTGTGAGACCCGGCTAACCCTCAGCTTCTCATCTAACAGCAGAGAATGGTGACTCTACATGGAGAGCTTTTAGAGGCTTTTACAGCCACAATGCCTGGCACACATGGGCACTCAATGAACTTGTCTCTGTTAATATTCTAGATGAGAGATGCAAAGCACAATGCAAGTGCAAATGACTGTCATTACGTCCTCGGCTTTGGGCAAGTGTTGCCAATACGAGAAGTGCTTTGCATATAGTAAATGCATAATAAGTACCTGCTGCACGTAATTATGGCATCCGTCAAAGCAGATCCACTCTGAAATTCAGCTCAGAGATTAGGATCATTTGCAGTAACTACATTTCAGGCCGCCAGCCCCACAAATTAGACACCAACTAAAGACATGCAGCCCATGGTTCAGCTGTATCTCAGCGGAGGGTTTCTGACAACAGCAAAAGCCACAAGGGATTCAACCTGAGTATTTTCCATGTGTCAGCAGGAGGCTCTTCCTCTCTCAGTGACAATCAACATACCACTATTCAGTGTGGGGCGTGCACTGTGCAGGGACCATGAGAATACATAGCGGGCCCAGGTCCCATGCAAGCCACAGCCACAATCGAGGGCTCTCCTTCTCTCTTCTTTCCACGCCTTTACTCCCTCACTGGCACCAATCAGTAGGAAGCACTAATATGTGCAAGGGACCTGGGGACTAGGGCATCGTTTGGGTCTTTCAAGAGCAGAAGTGGGCCATGCATTTAGTCTCATGTCACTGTGGTCCTTGCCTTGACCTTCACAAAGCCTCCTGTGTCTTGTTCTGGGTTCAAAAATCTATTGTGGGCGGGGAGGAGATGGAAATATTCAGGGAGGAATGAAAGAGAAGATAAAAACCTCAGGCAATGCTTCATGAGGGTAAACGGCATAAACTTAAATGATCTAGCCCGGTGGGCGGAAGGCTAAAGCCAGATGAAATGATACTTCAGTTGCTACTCTCTGTGTTCACTGAATGAGGCTGCTGCAAGCGGGAGCTGGGGTAGCCACGGCCTAAGGAAGGCAGCTGGAACGAGACAAGATTGGCCATGTGTTGATAATTACTGAAGCTGAATGAGGGTACCTAGGGGCTTATTATGTTCTCTCTACTTTTGTGAATGCTGGATAATTTCCACAATAAAAAGTTAAAACAATGAAGAAAAGGGGCAGCTGCTCTCTGCTCCAGTTCCATGCCCACGTGCACAGGGACAGTCTGGAGTTACCCCGTGGATTTTTGTGGGGGTGGGGGATGACTGACATCATCAGTTTCAGTCTCTGTGTGAGGTCGCTCTGCCTTTGATTATTTGCCACCATGTATTTCTTCAAGCACAAGGGAGGTACGTTCGCCTCATTTTGCAGATCAGGACAATGCATGTACAGAACTTCAAGTTCAGGGTTTCATAGCTGATGGCTAATTGAGTGTGTGTCCTGTGTCACTTGTTGTTCCTCTTCCCCTGCATCGGGTCATTTAATCTTCACGGCAATTAGGTCGTTTGTTATGAGACCAGTTGATCCTTGCAAGACCAAGCTCATCACTGTCATTCCCCTTTCCACAAACAAGGAAACCGAGGCTTAGAGAGGCTAAATTAGCTTGCCCAAGGCAATTTCCAGATCTTAGGTTGACCGTGGCGCCTCTGCCTCAGTACTGTGAAACTGGCTCCTTTTGTTCGTCCCAGACTCAACAGCTCCGATGGCTCCTGTGTCTGCGCAGGAACCTTCCTAACCTCCAGGAGTCAGCCCAGAGCCCTTCTCGGGGCCTCTCCAGCCTCTTTGCACCTCTTCCTGTGTAGAAGTCTAAACCACCACATAGTTCTCTCATTCGATTGTCACAGCAGCTTCAAAAGGGACTTGGGCAAGTCGGACAATTGCCCGGGTCCCAGAGCCTCCGTGTGGCTCGGGACCCATGACTCTGGGGCACTTCTCTCCCTCCTGTCCAGTGGGCTTCTAGGCACTGAGCACAGCACGGCTGCTTTCAGGGTACCCTGTGAGTTTGGTGAGAGGACACTTCCCAAAGTGTCACTGGCTGATGTTACCAGGCTGATCCATTCATTTGATGCCCAATGCATAACTCTTGTTGGATGCCTTTAAATTTTAATTTACTTATTAGAGGAGAGGAGAGAGAGGGAGTATGTGCTAGCTCTTTCCTGCTGGTTAACTCCCCGAATGCTGTCTATGGCCAGGGCTGGGCCAGGCTGAAGCCAGAAGGTGGGCACTCAATCCTTGTTTCCTATGCAGGTGGCAGGGACCCAATCACTCAAGCCATGGCCACTGTGTCCCAGGGTCTGCATTAGCAAGAGGCTGGTGTTGAGAATCGGACCCAGGTACTTTGGATGTGGGATGAGGATGTCTTAACCGGCATCTTAACCACTGGGTCAAATGCTCACTCTGTAGGTGCCCCTTGGGTGTTGGCTTCACCCTCCCTCCATTTCCTCAAGTCCCAGGTCACCTTCCATCGAGTCCAGAGCCATCTTCATGCCACCGTCTTGCTTCAACTCTTTCCGAGGCATCCTGAGGCCCTGGCCACAGCTAGTGCAGGCTCAGTCGGCCTTCTTGCCTCTCCTGCCATGGCCCTGACCTTGCAGCCTCACTTCAGCCAGAGGAACCTCTGCAGCTGCCCGAGCAGACTCTGCTGTTCTCTCTGTTGAGCCTGCCTTGCTCTTCCGTTGTCCACCCCTCCTCTCTTCTGCCTAATTAACTTAATGGATGATTTTTTTTTTTTAAGACTAAACCAAGGCTTTACCTCCTCCGTAGAGTCCTTCCAGAGCTTCCTTTCGGAATCATGTCTCCCTGGGGACCCCCGCCCCCTCCCTATCTATAACCCACAGGGGACTGTAGGCTTCTTAGAGATAAGGCTCTGTGTCTCACTTTGTGCCTTCAGAATGGAGCATGCAGTAAATGCCCTGAACTATTCACAAAATGAAGATGGAGTGAGTGAAGCCTCCCCTGCTGTGCCCACCCCAGACAGTCCTCTGAGGGCCGTGGCCCGTCCCACCAGTCTTAGCGCTGGCCAGTCTTTGCTCTGATTGCTTCCTTCCACACCTGTTTGCCCACTGTGTTGGTAGGATTCTCCATCATGCTCTGAGGTCTTCAGGGTAGGAGGTACATAGTCCTGAGCATGAAACAAGCACATAGTAGGTACTTTACTCCCTCACTCTCAGGTTCTTGTTCCTTCTGGCCAATGTTAATCAGCCCAAGGCAACATCATATGCTTCAGGCAGAGTTTGCCTCCATGTGGGCTTTGAGTTTGCCCATGCTGAAGCCACTTTCTACTTGTCTGTCCACCAGACAAGAGACAGAGTTAGAGAGAGAGGTAGAGACAGAGAGAGAGGTCTTCCATCCGCTGGTTCACTCCCCCGAGGGCCACAATGGCCGGAGCTATGCCTATCTGAAGCCAGGAGACAGGAGCTTCTTCTGGGTCTCCCATTTGGGTGCAGGGGCCCAAGCACTTGGACCATCTTGTACTGCTATCCCAGGCCATAGCAGAGAGCTGGATCAGAAGAGGAGCCAGGACTAGAACCAGCACCCATATGGGATGCCGGCACTTCAGGCCAGGGCTTTAAGCTGTTGTGCCACAGTGCTGGCCCCTGCCCACCACGTCTTAGGAGATCTCCCCTGCCCTGACTCCCCATGTCTGCCCTATTTTCTTGAAACATCATTACAAAAAGGGCTCTGTGATCTACAGATGTGCAAGTTTCACTCTGAACCTCCTCTTCCAGGTAATTTATAAAAATGCAAAAGCAGCTCAGAGCCCATGGCAGCCACTGCTAAACTCTATCCGTAGCACCAGCCCTGGGCCTTGGTCTGTACCCTTCAGCCTGGCCTGCCGACTCTTTGGAGTACACTTGTCTCCTGGTATTCATGGGGGTTTGGATCCAAATCTGCAGATGCGCAAGTCGCATAGAAAATGGTGTAGAATTTACATATAACCTATGGCCATGTTCTTGTATAGTTTAAATCATCTCTAAATTCCTTGTAATACCTAATACAGTGTGATGCTATGTGATAGTTGTCATATGCATTGTTTATGAGTAATGATAAGAAAAAATGTACATGTGCAGTATATATGCAATTTTTTTCTACGAATATTTTTGATTTGTGGTTGGTTGAATTTACAGAAGTGGAGCCCGTGGTTATGAAGGATGGACTGGGTGTCTTTCCTTATGCAAAGGTGGCAAATGGACATTCAACTAACATCCATCTGTCTCCCAACTCATGCATGCACCCCACATGTGCTGGCACCTTGCACCCGGCTCTGGAAATTCCAGTGAGAGACCAAGCAGAACCTGTGGCCTTAACCAGCTTAGTTGAGGCGACATTGCTCGTGAGGCACATGGCCCCCCTGGTCATATAAAGCATGCTGGTGGAACCCCAAGAAGAAAGATTAACTCTGCCCACAGAGGGAGCAGGATTTGAGCTGGACCTTGACGCGTGAGAGGAGTTTTGCCATCTGGACAAGAAGGGAGAAGGAACAGCAGGTGCAATGGGAGATGGGAACCAAGGTGCAAGAAGTTACGAGACGGCCAGCAAGGAGTAGGGGAGCATGTGGGCAGAAGAAGCCTTCCCATTTGTATTTTCTCATAGGGGGAAATTTTTGGTTTCAAAAACCTATGGGGCGGGTCGGCGCCGTGGCTCACTTGGTTAATCCTCTGCCTGCGACACCAGCGTCCCATATGGGTGCCAGGTTCTAGTCCCGGCTCCTCCTTTTCCAGTCCAGCTCTCTGCTGTGGCCAAGGAGGGCAGTGGAGGATGGCCCAAGTCCTTGGGCCCCTGTGCCCGCATGGGAGACCAGGAAGAAGCACCTGGCTCCTGGCTTTGGATTGGCTCAGCGCCAGCCGTGGTGGCCATTCGGGGAGTGAATCAATGGAAGGAAGACCTTTCTCTCTGTCTCTCTCTCTCACTGTCTACTGTACCTGTCAAATAAATAATAATAAAAAAAGAAAAAAAACCTATGGGGCAACAATATTATCTTTGTAGATAAGAAATGACATATTTATTATGGTCTTTTTTCCTGCCCATAGCCAGCAAAAGCCAAAGCCTCATCCAATAGCTATGGAGAAATCCTTAAAAGGAACCCATTCTTCCATCCAACAGTGACAGTAGCTGACATGTTTACATGCATGTGTGTGTTCACGCCGTGGCCAGTGTCGCTCCCCAGCACTGTCAGCCACCGGATAGCAGGGGCTTTTCTATGGTCTGTGCTGGATCCCAAGAGCCTACACAATCCTTGGTACAGAGCAAGCACCCCAAGAATGCTTGCCATGTAAACTCATTGTACCCCGCCACCTGCCAGGAACTGTGCCAGGGACTGGGACAAAGAAATGGTGGCGAGCCTCTGCCTGTCCTTCAAGCCAGCACGAATTAGAGTCTGGTCCAGTCTGTGGTCTAGTTCCTCAAGAAGCTGCTTCGGGAGTGATTAGAAATTATTCCCGTTTGAAAGCTTAGGAACTACAAAGCCCTTTGTGTCAGCTGAGAGGTGATGGCGCGGCCTGGCAGCCCTCCTGCCGGGCCTGCAGATGCTCACTTTACTGATCCTGCCTCGTGCCACTCAGCTCCTCGCCACCCCGCCACGCCCAATCTGGTGTCCCCTGCAGGGCAAGCCTGCACCTCAGCTGCCCTTCCCCATGCTGTGCTGCACGCTCACACTCACGCTTACTCACACACAGGCTCACACAGCACACACATCCACGCACGTGATCACACGCACACTCACAGCTCGTCTCTCACGCATGACACTCACACGATATGCACAGGCACACACAGTCACTCAGACACACAATCATACTAACACAATATGCAGTTACACGTGCAGTCACACACATGATCGCACAACACACAGTCATATACATCACACTCATATCCAGTCTCACACACAGTCACATACTCACACACACTGTTCACACAAAATACAGAGTGACATGCATGATCACATTCACACAACACACACATAATCACACAAATCACTTTCATACAATACATGATCACAACACACACATGGGCACACCCACACACCCTCATACAACATACACATGGCCATACACATACAGTAACACGTATGATCACAGACACCATCACAGACCCACACAAGCATACACATGTGCTCACACTCATCCAACACACAGTCACACATATAGATCACTCACACAAGGCTACACACTCACATAAACACACAAACACAGCCACACAGATGAACGTATTCAAACACGCACACACAATGCAGGCCTGTGTCCTCACTCAACACAGTCGTTACCACACAAAGGCACCTGCTCACTCACATGCACACACACACACCTCGCCCTGCAGACACACGCTGCCACACTCACCCTCACACATGCACACTCATGCATGCGCACACTCACACAGCCTGAGCCGTTCGAGCGGCGGCACTCACATTTTCCATCTATTGGCGGTTTCAAAACAGGAAGCCTGCACGGGGAGGGTTGGGGAGGGGCCGCTGAAGCGAGACCTGCAGTAAAGGGGCCCAGGTGCACGGGCTGGATTCAAAAGGGCCATCTTGCGGGTACCTCGTCTCCGACACAGCCGGGAGAGCTGGGCTGCAGGAGGTCTGGTGCTGGCCCAGACCCCAGGTCTATCCGTGCTGGCTAGGAAGGTTCCTGGCAGCCACCCGGGTCAAACTGCATGTCTCCTGCAGCCAGCGGTTTTTTGGGAGGGAGACCAAGCGCCTTCTCCTTAGGAACAATCTCTTCCAGGGCCTTCCTGGACTAACTGGTGCCTGCTGCTCCCCCTCAGGCCCCCTGCTACTCACTTCTCTGCAAAGCAAAAAGACTCTTTTGTGTCCTGCCCAAAATGCAATAGACCAGAGATTTGCTTTCTCATCTCAGAATCCTTGCAGGACTTGGTGCTTTGCAAAGTTTGTTCATCACCAGCCTCTCCTTCAGTCCTCAGTACAGCTCTGGGAGGTTGAAAGTACACCCAATTTACGGAAGAGGAAGCTGAGAGCAAAGAGACTATACTTGTTCCCTGAAGTGGAGTTCAGGATCCCATCTCTCATGGTCAAGACTAGCATCGCCTTTACTTCCTATTTTGCCTAAGAATACTGCAGGTGCCTAGGAGGGAGCCAGGTGCATGGGAACAGACAGAGCAAAAGCTGGAAGGCAGCTGGAAGGCGAGAAGACTAAGGAGAGAAGCAAGCGGCGCCGCTGGCTGGGGGCACTGAGGCTCAGCCCAGGGCAGGGGAGGCGCTCACTCTGCGCTCACACAGAGCTCACTGTGCCACACTCTGTTCAGCAGGCAGGACCCTCCCCTCGAGTGCTCTCACTGCCTGAGACAGTTACAGGAGAGAGACTAAGTGGGGGCGGGCGCAGTCAGTTTCTAGGGGTGAGTGACAATTGCTCTCTTGTCTGCGAAAAGTGATTAAACACCTTTTCCATCAACAGTGACCTTGCAATGGAACGTGGCCTCCGTGGTCTGAGGCTGAGGGGAGAGCCCTCTGTGCACTTTTACTGCCACAGAGGGTGCGGGGCGGGGGGAGGGTGCTGGCAGGCGGCCGTCACCAACCAGCCCACGACACCGGGTACACGTGGCTGCAGGGACACAGGAAGGGACCCAGCAACCAGAGCAGACTGGGCTTTTTCCGCTGGGCTAGCACTTGCACCGTCACAGCATGGCCTGTTTTCACAATTCTCTTCCTTTTAGGTTTCTCATATGGAACGGCCGGGGCCTGTGAAATGGGACATCAGAGGTGACAGGCAGTGAATTTGCTTCCCTGGAAAATTTGCTTTTCCTGGAAATCTTCGGGACCGAGATGAGAGGCGGCTCCACTGGGGAGCATTTCTTGGCTCTTCCCTTTCCCTCTTTCTCCAAGCCCCACCTTTTTCCCGACCCTGCCAGGCTTGCGTGGTCCCTGGGGTCAGAGGCTGTGACCGCTGGCTGACAAGTGAGGAGGAATCCGCCTGCTGAGAGGAAGCGGATGCCTGAGATGACCCTGGACCCCACGCGACCCCAGGGGCTGCTGTTGGTGTGCATTTGTGGGAAGGCAGGGAAGGAGTGCTCAGATTCTACTGCTCTGTGGGGCTAGACAGGCCCTACATTCCAGCTTGCCAGCGGTGGAAGTGGCCTGGGTTCCAAGCAGGGGTGTGTCAAGGGGAGGAGCGTGTGCAGGGGGAGCTGGACAGCTTGAGTCCAGTGAGATCCCCAGGAATTGCTCAAGGCTGGTTTCCTCGGTCAGCAAAAAGGGTGCAGGAAGCAGAACCCGCGGGAGGAGGGACACAGGGCTGCTGACTGCGGAAGAGGCCTCAAGGCAGCCAGGCCACACAAGTTCAGCAAGTTCATGGTTGTGGGGCCTTAGGGGGAGAAAGAGAGCAGCCGGCCTCCCTCCGCGCTGACAGATCCCTGCTCTCCCAAGCAGACTTTCCCTGGGCCTTGTCTTCCCAATGGGCCAGCATTCCCATCAGAGGCACAGCAAAGACTTTCAGTGTGGCGCATTCGGTGACTTACCCTGCTCCCGTGGAGTGGGACAAGGACAGACCCCTCCGTGAACTTAGATCTTAGGTGGGCAGGCTTGAAATGAAGCAGGCCTGATCTTTGGTTATGCTCACTCACTGAACCCAAATAATCCCAGGGTTTACTTATTAGTAAACAGCCAATGCAAGTCTGCTGTGTTGAGGATTTGTATCTTGGGGTTTGCTTTTACCATCTGAAGCACTTCATGGATATATCTGTACTAGGATCACGTTGAAAAATTTTACAGTTCACTGAAAGGAAAAAAATACAGGACAGGAAAACGTTCTTCGAACTGGAAGGAAATTGAATAGGGAGTTTACTCTGTGCAAGTTCCTATAGAAATTGGAACCACATCATCCCAGCTTTAGCTCTTCGATGAACTGAGAGCTTACGGCCAACCTGAATCTCCAAATATTTTAATGGAAAATAAGCGTCATTGATTTTTAAGGTGAAAAGGGCTACTAATTTGAAAATGTTTTTATGTTATCGGGGTTTACTTTGATGACTGAAAATCCACTTATACATAAGCACACATTTTTAAGCATACAGGAATCAAAATCCCTAAGAACAATTTATTGCAAATTAGACTATTAATTCCAACTCACCCATCTCATTTCCATAATTATCATCTCCCACTAATGCAGGACTTCAGCTAAAAAATGGCCTACATAATTGGTTCTACTTCACTTTAAAAATAACACAACTGCATTTTCGTAGAAAATAATCATGCAAAGATGTTTGTCAAAAACAACCCCTTGCTCAGTATGCAGTACCTCATGCTGGCCTCAGTCTACCTTTCCGCCTTCAGCTTGCCCCCTTACCCTGCATGCCCCAAGCCTTGTGCACAGGGTGGCTCATAAGCACTGACCTTGGAGTGTAGACAGCTTACATTCCAACACTACCCTTTTTTTTATTTGACAGGTAGAGATATAGACAGTGAGAGAGAGAGAGACAGAGAGAAAGGTCTTCCTTCTGTTGGTTCACTCCCCAAATGGCTGCTATGGCCAGCACTGTGCCGATCTGAAGCCAGGAGCCAGGTGCCTCCTCCAGGTCTCCCTTGTGGGTGCAGGTCCCAAGCACTTGGGCCATCCTCCACTGCCCTCCAGGGCTACAGCAGAGAGCTGGACTGGAAGAGGAGCAACCATGACCAGTACCAGCGCCCATATGGGATGCTGGCGCCACAGGCAGAGGATTAACCAAGTGAGCCACAGCACCAGCCCCCCAACCTTACCCTAAGCATCAGCTATATCCCATGTAAAATGGGAATAATAGTAGGACTGACCTTGTATGGCTGTCCAGTGAGTCAAGAGAGTGAAGCATTTGGCACCACACATAGGCCCTTCCTGTCTGCAGGCTCTGCATCCTTGGATTCAGCCAGCAGCAGGTGGAAAACATTTGGAAACAAAATTGTCTGTGCTCAACAGGTACAGACTTCTTTTGTCATTCCCTAAACCACAGTGTGCAGTGATGACTCACATAGTGTTTACAGTACATTAGGTATCCCGAGGAGTCCAGAGATGATGTGAAGTAGGGGGATGTGTGGAGGGTCCATGACAATGCTACCCCATTTATAGGAGGGGCTTGAGCCCCTGTGAATTTTGGAATCTTGGGTGGGGTGGAGCTGTCCTGAGACCGATGGCCCATGGATACAGGGCGGGATGGGAGTGGGGAGAAACTACAGTACTGAGCTCTCAGTAACAGCCTCTGGCGTCCTAGTCCTGGGACAATTAACAATTTACCCCCTTCAGCGCCAGCTGTTCTTAGTCCAGCAAACATTTCATCAGGAAGCCTTTCCCCTTCTCTTCACTTGGGAAAAGCAGCTCACATTTCAAGACTCAGTGCAAACATCAGATTTGCGGAAATGTTTCCTCGCAGCCTCCCAATCCCCACCGACTAACTCAGCCCATCACCGGCTCCTACTTAACCTACTCACCTTCTACTGAAAAGAGTCTCGAGGGCTTGCTTTGCCACACAGTATGGATGCATTCAGAGTGCAGAGCCGACTACTGCAAATCCTCCTCGCGCTGCCAATGCCAGGCACGGGCACACACTCAATAAATATTTATTGAGTGAATAAAACAAAATGGAATCAAATGGCATCTGTGAAGATGGCGGGATGTATGGGGCATATGGCTTTGTGGAAATAAAATCCGTAGCACAGATTTTCCATGACCCCATTATTTCTGGGTAGAAATGATTGTAACCAGATCAGCTCTCGTGGGAGACAGGATGAAAGGAGAACTTTGGGCAAGAAGTTAGGGGAACGGTATCAGGGTTTTTCTCTCTGCCCAGGAAGGGTATATTACCCATTTGTAGGTCAATGCCTTAAAAACTCAATAGGAAAGTGATACTTTAGGCCATTGCCCAGCCCCAAACACACACACACACACACACACACACACACACACACACACACCCCTTGCATTGAGACAATTTGGTATAGAGCAAATGTCCATTTGCCAAATCAGAGATTGAGCAGAGATGTAATTTTAGCCCTACTCTTGAAAGGAAATTTTCTGGAAGATTGTTTTCCTTCAGTATAACAAAGTTAGGAAGCAAACTGATGTTTCCCAAACATCAGAAGAGAACAAGAAATTTGAATTACTACTGAGAGTGAGGGAGTGGGAGGAGCATGGCGCTGGGAAAAGGGTATTGATAGAAGCTCTTACTGGGGCTTGTGCTGTGGCACAGTGGGTTAATGCCTTGGCCTGAAGCACTGGTATCCCATATGGGCGCTGGTTTGAGGCCCGGCTGCTCCACTTCTGATCCAGCTCTCTGCTATGGCCTGGGAAAGCAGCAGCAGATGGCCCAAGTCCTTGGGCCCCTGCACCCACGTGGGAGATCCGGAAGAAGCTCCTGGCTCCTGGCTTCGGATTGGCACAGCTCCGGCTGTTGTGGCCAATTGGGGAGTGAACCATCGCATGGAAGACCTCTCTCTCTCTCTCTCTCTCTCTCTATATATATATATATATATACACATATATATATATCTGCCTCTCCTCTCTCTGTATCTCTGACTTTCAAATAAATAAATAAATCTTTAAAAAAATTAAAAATAAAGAACCTCTTACTGAATATCAAGTACCATCCTACTTGACATAAATGGTAGCACTCATAATAACTCCAGAGAGAAGGATCTCTGTCTTATTGATGGGTAAACTGTGTCACCATGAGGCAAGGTCACCAAAGTAGATGCCTGGGTGTTTTTTCATGTCTCCCAGTAGTAACCACAGTGCAGATGGCTGGTATATAAATCTCTCGCTGCTATGACCCATTTTTCTCTCTACTGTTGATTTTCCCCAAACAAGTTGAGTTAAACTTTCCACTCCTTTAAAACCGACAGTGGTTTCTTTACATTTACAGAGTGAAAATTCAAATATTCAGACTCACTAAAGTAATATTCTCTACAGGCTCACTTCCCACCATAGCTCTTGTTGCATCTTCCCAACTGTCACACTGACCATGTCCTCTCTCATGTTGTATGAGCCACACAGCAGGGCCTTCGACTCAAGTCTGTCCTTGAAAGACAATCTACCCTTCTCCTAAATCCTGTCTTGTCCCTGCCAGTTCCTCCTTTGCATCCAATCTCACTTTTCCCTCTGGAAAAAGTCACTGTTATTTGGAATTTCACCACTAACCCTGCTTCTAATTAAGTCCCCAGTAGTTATTCATGTTACTAAACAATAATGGTTGGTGTTCATTGACCCTTTAAATGCTGCTCTAAATACTATACAATCGTTCTAGCTTACAGATGAGGCTCAACGTAAAATTCATAACCTGTCTAAGGCCACTCAGTCAGTAGCAGCGAGGATTTGAATCACCCATTCTATCCAATGGGCTTCTTGAATGCCATTCTCTCTGGAACTCTCAGCAGCATTCCCCATTCCCGACGCTCCTTTGCTCTCTGCCTGTACTCCCCTGACAGTAGTCTCTGCTTTTCCTTCTGCTGGTTTCCTAGCTGCTCCTTCACAGCTTCCTGTGCTGAGCTCTCTGGATTGCTGCTCTTCAAGGGAGCCTCGAGTCCTTCTCTTTGCATTCTACTCATGCTCTCTAGGAGATCCTAGCCTCTCTCAAGCTAGAACTCTAACTCCTACAGCCTAGAATGCTCAAATCTCTAGATCCCACTGGTGTCTCTCCCTCATCCTTTGGGCTCCCACAACCTGTTTCTTACTGGGAATCTCTATTTGAATAACTTGTTTGCGCTAAACATCGTGTTCAAGAATTGAGCTCTCTTCTCTGCCCCGCCCCCCAAGCCTTGCCTCTCTCCATATTCTCCTGGTTATTGACACAAAATCTATTTCATTTCCCAAGTTAGAAACCTAAGATCCATCCTTGACGTCTCCCTTTCTGTCACACCTCTCATTTAGTTACCCGCTTAGTCCAGTCTGAGTCTTCCACTTTAGTTCTCTTTGATTCTCTGTCACCTTTCACTTCACTAGTCTGACAGTTTCCTAGGGGATCTGCTGTTTCAGTTTTGTCTTTTCCAATTTAGTCTCTAACTATGCAATAATCATACACTCTTTGGCTTAAAACATCATAGTAGCTCCCCCTTCCCCTCAGGACAAAGTTCTAGAACCTTCCATGGCTAATGGGCTGTGCATGATCTACTTTCTGGCCCCTCTCTGCCTTGCTTTGGGTCACTCTCCTTCCTCATCCATTTGCTCAGGCCACATTCAATTTCTTCCAGTTCCTTAAGTATGACACATTTTCTCACAGAGCGAGTGAGCACGCAGTTCTCTCTTTGGGACTCTCCTCCCCTATCTTGTGCCAGTATTTGCCCACCTTTCCTGTCTCAGCTCTCCTTGATCCTTTTGATTAATCTCCCAGTTCCACATTTTCATGGTACTCTGCGCGTCTCTTTCCCAACATTCATTCTGCTTGTAATTACTTATTCTCCGTGCCTCTACATTGGCAGAGCCTCAGTAAAAATCAACAACCTCCCCAAAATATCACCCTCTATGTGAAATCTTCCTGAATTATCCTGGCCTTCTCTCCATGGTCCCCTAGTCACTGATTTCTCATTCTGCCCGGGTTAGAATTTAGTGTTTTATCTGTCTTGCTCCTCCATGAACTTCACGTATGAGCTTACTGTATGAGCTTCTTAGGGGGAAAGGACTAGATCTTCATTCTTCTAACATCACCATATGTTTACTGAATTAAAAAGAAAGAAGCCCGAGTGTTACGCCTGACAGGTCTTCAGACCTCAAAGTATTGGAATGTGGAATGAGGTTGTGTCCTCCCAAAGCTCTAGGGATGAGTTACCCATTTCTGAAAGGGGGTGGAGGAACACTGAGAAGCAGTATGTGTAGGGCCCGAGCAGTAGACCTTTTCATCCGTGCACTTTGAAAATTGGCTGCAGTATTAAAACAACCAGAAATTAGGAGGCATTCTCATCCTTGCCATCTGCCTTATGTCCATTCCCCTATCGGGTGCTAAAATATCCTACCTGGACTGGACTACATCTCCTTCCCCACAACTGCACCTCCACTGCCTTGGAGGAAAACAAGATCTTCGTCTCTTACCTGGCAAATCAACTCTGGTTTCTGTCCGTTCTCTCCTCTTATACACCATGCACATCACTGTCAAAGTTATTATTCTAAAACTTAAATGCAACTTAAACATTCAGGGATGTCCTGTTACCTACAGTATAAAATGCTTTTCACATGGCATCCAAGGTGCTCTATGGAGGTGTCCAAATCCCCTTTGGTAGGCTCAAGCCTACCATGTTCCTCCTGTGTGCCCTACAGTCCACGCTACTGGACTCTCCCTCCCTCAATACATTGTTTCCTTCCCTGGCTTTACATATGCTGGGCTCTCTTCCTAGAACACTGCTTCTCCATTTCCACACATAGACGTCTTCTACATATGTTCCTCTATCCAAATCAAACACTTCTTGGTGAGTTGTAGTGCAGTTAGGGTTACTCCTACTGGGAACTCTCTTATATGTCTGGGCATTGGTCATACTGTGCTTTCAGTTATGAACTCAAAGAAGATAGGACAATGCCTTCTGCCTTTTTGAATCTGCAGCACCTATCATACATTAGGTGCTCAATAAGTGCTGAATAACTACAGGAGTGAAGACTGGGTCCGTGTGAGTCAAGCTGGCAGAACAGGCCCTCCTTTCTGTCTAGCACTTCCTTTCTTTCCTCAACTAGGAGATTGCTTATTTAGCCTGTCTTTCTGACAAGTTGGAGAAAGTTAGAGAAGGGTTATAGTACACCAACTTTCCCTTATCCACGTGTCGGTGAGTTATCCCCTGTAGATTTTGTTGCCTTTCTACTGTATGTATAGGAATTGCAAATGAAGCAGACTAGTGACTAAAAATAAGATTTTAAGTACATTTCAAGGACAAATACACAAAAAGGGAATGCATGCTACTGAGTATTATCCCAGATTCCTCCAATGTCTTACTTAACCCCCTAAGTGCAAATAATTGAAGGTTGTCAAAATATTCTGAGTAACTGTGACCTTCAAGTGCATAGTGAAAAAGAAGGTGCAGAAAAATATTGGCTTCCAAAAAGGGCAAAAGTTCAGTACTGGATGGCTTAAGGAAAGACAAAATGAGTTTATATCAAGCTTGGTAGGAAACAGGAAGTCAGAAAAAACTGTGATAAGGAAAGCCATAAAGAGAAATGCTGACCCAGAAAAGACAGATAATAAAAATGCAGAGGGAAACTTTTTGACATTGATGCAGGATCCTTTCTCTGAGGGTTTTTGTTTTTTGTCCAGATAGTGCTAAAAAAGTGAGACGTGAATTCATCAGCATTCTGTACGACAAACAAGGCTGATGAGAGGGGAGAATGATTATTCACTCTACTGGAACTACTCTAATGGCACCTTCTTGATGAAAGCTGTATCTTAAAATACTCATCCAGTGATGAGGAGTTATTTCAAGATGTGAGTCCAGGCAGTGGCTGCAGTGGGGTCTGCGTGTGAAGCGCACTACAGCTGCAGGCTATGGAGCTGTGCAGGATGACGCACACTGACAACAGCACCACTGGCCGATCTGGACAGCTGGTGCCCAGCCCAGTGGCACGTTGGAGGCCATCATTGACTAGGAAATCTGTGAACACTGCTCAGGCCAAAAGATCGGGTCAGAACACAGTGGAATCATCCTGAGGCTTCTCCTTTCTCCTCAGCTGTCCAGCCAGGGTCTGGACCCTCGGATCAGCCAATCTGAACCCTATAAGCAGGCCAACTGGATGGCTGGGGTTTGTTTCTTGTGACTTATCACAGACACTTTTGTTGATGTTAAGACTCCCCTTTGCCGGCGCTGCTAGGCTAATCCTCCGCCTGCGGCGCTGGCACTCTGGGTTCTATTCCTGGTTGGGGCGCTGGTTCTGTCCCAGTTGCTCCTCTTCCAGTCCAGATCTCTGCTGTGGCCTGGGTAGTGCAGTGGAGGATGGTCCAAGTGCTTGGGCCCTACACCCGCATGGGAGACAAGGAGGAAGCACCTGGCTCCTGGCTTTGGATCGGCGCAGCACGCTGGCCATAGCGGCTATTTGGGGGATGAACCAACGGAAGGAAGACCTTTCTGTCTTTCTCTCACTGTCTAACTCTGCCTGTCAAAAAAAAAAAAAAAAAAAAAAAAAAAAAAAGACTCCCCTTTCCAAAGTCAATAACCTCCTCCAGTCTCCAGTCACCGCCAGACATCTCATCCTGAATGCGTTTATTAAACTGGGCACCAGGAACCACCAGAAATAATGGAGCTTGAAGAAAGCACTTGCATTTGTGATCACTGAGATTAAAGTTTACTTGGGGCTCGAGATGGAGTGAGCTGGAAGCAGTTAAGGTTTGTGTTGTAGTGCAAAGGAAGAGCACAATTTCTGTTGTGTATGAAGTCATCCATTTGTCCACCCTACCCTCTTCCCCTTCCCCATATCCACAGTCCTCCTGCATTTCCATTTAGCACAAGGGCTTTGGGTCTTTCAAGAGAGGAAGGCCAATTATGGAAGCAATGTGGGTGGAAGACCTTCGCTCAAGGTCTACAAAACCTTTCTGTTCGATGGGTGTACCAAAAGTAATCAGGAATCTCAATATAGTCATTAAGAGAAATGACAACATTTCACTGGAGTGAGGAAAGCTGGGATTCTGCCATTATCTGAACAGAAGGAGCCATTTTGAGCAAATATGATTAAAAAGTAGCTCAACATTTTAGGTCTTTTAGCTGATACCTACTCAGTAGAGTCCAGAACATGGCCAGTCTCTTTGAATGAACATAGAAAATTTCAGAGGAAGCTTTTTAAGATAACGTTGTTGGCACACACAAGCACCCCATACTTTAAGGCTTTTTGAAAAGAGCTTATTAGCTTATGTAACCAAGACTTTCTGGGGATGGGAATATGGGAAGACAAGCCATGATTTTACCTCCATTATAAACACAGGAATTCAGGGGTGGACAACAGGGCTTTACAAATTGTATTTTATAAGTTGCAGGAAATACCACAGGAGAACACAAACTGTCCTTAAGGAAAAAGATGAAGTGCAGCTGGGAGTGAAATTCCTGAGTCTCCATTGGGAAATAGATCCCTAAGATATAAGATATACAGGGTCTGGACAAGGGTATAAAAGAGAGCCAACAGACCTAATGCCTAAATGTTTGACATTCATAAAGCCACCCAAACAACTTGTGGATAAAATATGTCCTCACTCCCTACCTTGACCAATACCCCTTTATAACAGCATTCCTTGGCATTCGGTCTGAGAACACGGCAGTTTGGGAAGAGCCAGCAGCTGTTCCTCCACCTGAGGTCTGCCCCCATCTACTTTATACCCTACCCTGGCTTCTTTGGGGACTATGAGAAGCCTCACCTACATGTGTGTGAGGACCCCAGGAGAGATCAAATTTCTGTCCACATCCCCACAAACAGCTGCTCCTTGGTCATCCCGGGGGTTAGGGGTGTCTAGCTCTGAGGCACTGGAAATGAGGAGACACAGGTTGCAAGTTCCTAGTCATTTGGGTTCTGAATTTCCAGAGCACGGTGGTGTGTGTGTGTGTGTGTGTGTGTGCACATACACAGGCTCCAGATGAGCATATCTCATTGAACCTAAGGGCTCTTCCCTCTGTACTAAAGGGCACGGCTGTAGGGAAAATCAATATAGAGTGCTCTTATCCATGGGCAGAGCGGGGTCAACGACTTCATGAACAAACATGCCAGGAGAGGACAAAGCGAAACGAACAAGTAACAGTCAAATCCCTATATTGGCTATGGCTGACTTGCGATCCTTCTGCAACCATGACGGGGCAGATGTAGCGATCCTTTCTTTGTCAGGGAGGAAGAGGACAGGCAGGGATAGAGGTGAGTGAGAACTCAGGAATTCGTAGCACCATGGGTGGGCTGGAGGGATGAGCTCTGGTGCACGACCATGTGATATGTGGTGTTGGCAACATGTGCAACAGCTCTACTGGGGGGCTTGGCTTAGCCTGGGCCTCTCTAGGGAGCCCAGTCTCAAGCACAGATGGACTAGAGGTACAAATGGTAAATTGCACTGGACTTCACCTGGCTGGGGAGGAAGAAGCTTCCACAGACAGGACAGGGATGAGATACAGGGTGCTGGCTGATGCCATAAGGGCCCTTGAATAAATAAGTTTATGTGAAGTGTTCCAGCCCTTTCAGGTGTCATCTAAGATAACCAGAGACTCCAGCCAATGACTGTGGGGCCCCAGGAGCACCAATTTCATCGTGTCTGCCATTGCAGTACAAGTCTCCACCCTGCCTGGAAGGGGTGGCACCCTGGCGGGGGGCAAGAGGAGAGATCTGGACCCTGTCTTTTCAGACCTTCTAATCTGAAAATTTCCAAATGTATACAAAAGTGGAGAGTATGCTATAACAAATGTATCCATCACCCAGCTTCAATAATTAGTTATCAATATTTTGCCAAATTGTTTACCTATTCCATAACTTTTATTCTGACTTTTTTTTTAAAAAGATTTATTTTATTTGAAAAGCAGAGTTACTGAGAGAGAGAAGGAGAGACAGAAAGGTTTTCCATCCACTGGTTCACTCCTCAAATGGCCAGCTGGGCCAGGCCAAAGTCAGGAGCCAGGAGCTTCTTCCGGGTCTCCCACGAGGGCCTCATGGACTTGAGGGCCCCATGGACTTGCTGCTTTCTCAGCTGCATTAGCAGGGAGATGGATTGGAAGTGAAGCAGCTGGGACTCAAACTGGTGCCCATATGGGACGCTGGCCTTTATTCTGGGATCTTTTAAAGCAAATCCCACATGTCATACCATGTCACCCGAAAGCACTTTTAAATATTTTTTTCTTTCCTATTCTAAAACAACCTAGACATCAGCATGCATCTCTGATAAAGAACGTTTTCTCTTTTACCTAATCACCTGCCATTATCACATCTAACATTTTCAACCATTCTCCAATGTCATCGGATATCAGCTCCATATCCATTTTTCCCTGATTATCTCAAAAATGTCTTTTGAGTTAGCTTGCTTGAATCAAACAAGGTCCTGGCCTGTCTTTGGCAGGACAGAAAGCCCTTGCATGTGGTCCAAGTACCAGAACCTCTCATGCACCTTATTCTAAGCAAGAATAGAGTCACAAGGTCAAAATCTTCCAGCTTCCTAGAGGTCTGGCCCTTGAGAAGGAGGTCGCGGTGGGCGCTGCAGGCCATGCGGCTCCTGCTGCTTGTGAGTAGCTCACTCTGCAGTCCAAGTCTGAGAAGCGGTGTCCAGAGCTTCCCAGGACTTACAGGATTTAGGTCACTGAGCCACAGTAGACTTGCAATGAAAGTGGCTCCTGCCCTTTCTGGTACTGCCTCCACCTTTCACTATTTGATCTTTCTAGTTAGAGGCCAAGCCCAAGCTGTGTGCAGTGACAGAGTTGACAGCAGGGACTACGGACTGATCGCTCTGATTTCCCTGCTTGACTGGGTGGCCTTGGGCAGCTTTCTTCATTCCTGATGTGAGAGGGAGGGACCCAGTAGTCCCTAAGACCCTCCAGCTCTGACATGCATTGATGCAAAGCTTGTGAGTCACCAAGTGACAGTGACGTTTCTGCCACTGTGGTAGACATTGGGAGTGCACAGATAGATGCCCCTCGTCCTAGATTCTAAACTATGGGGAATAGCCATCTCTTAAGCTGGCATCAGCAGATTCTATCACTGTGTGGGGGCACACCGTAGGCGGTCAACATTGTTGGGTGAAGGATCCAATCCAACAACCAACTCTTTTATTTATTTATTTATTTATTTATTTGACAGGCAGAGTTAGACAGTGAGAGGGAGAGAGAGACGGAGTGAAAGGTCTTCCTTCCATTGGTTCACCCCCGAAATGGCCGCTACGGCTGGTGCTGCACCAATCTGAAGCCAAGAGCCAGGTGCTTCTTCCTGGTCTCCCATGAGGGTGCAGGGCCCAAGCACTTGGGCCATCCTCCACTGCACTACCCAGGCCACAGCAGAGAGCTGGACTGGAAGAGGAGCAGCCGGGACAGAATCCAGAGCCCCAACCAGGACTAGAACCCGGGGTGCTGGCGCCACAGGCAGAGGATTAGCCAAGTGAGCCGCAGCGCCAGCCATCCAAAAACCAACTCTTGAATGCCCACAAGGAGGAAGACCCTGTGCTAGGCGAGGGATTACAAGTGTCTCGCTGGAGAGGCGAGTGCTCCAATGATAAAAGATGTGGTTGAGTTTAACAGCTCAGACCTAAGATGTAGACATCAGGCTGGTGGCCCCAATCTATGAGCTTCTGTTGTTGTTGTTGTTTTAAGTTAATTTTATTTATGCGGTAAGGCAGAGAGACGAGAGAGAAAGACAGAGTTAAAGAAAGAGGGAGAGAGCAAGAGCGAGAGAGACAGAGAGGGCCCCTCTGCTGGTTCATTCCCCAGATGCTCATATTTGGACTGAGCCAGGCCAAACCCAGGAGCCAGGAACTCAATGTGGTCTCCCACATGGGTGGCAGGGACCCAGGTATTTGAACCATCGCCTGCTGCTTCCGAAGTGTGCACGACAAAGAAGTTAGAATGGAGAGCGGAACTGGGGCTTGAACTCAGACACTCTGACATGGGATGCAGGCATTCCTAGCAGCATCTGAATCTCTGCATGAAACGCCAGCCCTTCTGAGTTTCCCACTTCTCAAAACGAACTCTGTCCATCAGCTATGCTTGATTCCCAATGCCCCATCTACCTGAAGAGCAACATCACAAGCAGTGGTCTTTCCATAAAAGAAAAAGGGCAAAAAGATGAGTGTGCCAATGGACCAAGCATCTCCCAGTGGACATCCAGAGTTTCCCCCAGAGTCAGTCTTCCCTGAGAGAAGCCCATAGGGTGAGCTTGTTCCTTACGTGGACTCAATGATTCTGCATCTTCCTGGGAACACTGTGTGGATCCACCTAGGATGACAACTACACAGTTCTGCCTCCACATGGCGGGAGATGGTCCCCATCAAGGTGGATGTCCTTAGACGGGGGCTGTGAGACTTCAGGATGGGGAATGTGGGCCGGTGCTGTCCCGTCTGGTTGTGTGGGGAGGGTGAAATGTCCAGAGTCTCCCTGGGTCCTTGAGTGGGACGTGGATTTCTCCCACTCACAAAGCTGGCAATGTTTTGAATCTTGGCCAAGCCCACATCTGAAAGAAGTGGCTCTGTGCTCCTCCTAGGAACCAGGCTCTAAAAACATGGCCTCAGGTAGCTTCCCAGTGTAACACACCCCAAATCCCTTTCAAAACACCACCCAGGCTCTGTGGTTTGCAGACAACAGCACCACCAATCCTTTTCCTCCAGGGTGGAATGGTTAGCTGCCTACCTTGGGACAGGCCGTCCTGGAGGAAGATGTCACTGGAGGGTAATTTCAGAACTGAAAGCATCTTGGAAAGCATGGAGCCCCACCCCACCCCCACCCACAGACAACTTCCTTCCTCTGGGCCTGGCCAGCAACCCTTAGAGGATGCAGGAAACGTTCCACAGTGAGCGAAGACACCCTGTCTGGATGAGTGGGGGGCTGGGCTGGGGGGGGGACTTTGCAATTACAGGTAATTACAGCCAGCACTGGCTCACTGCTGTGCCGTGACTTGGAGTCTTTAAGCTTCTGTGTGGCTCAGCACACGTGGTGGAAAAAAAAAAATAAAGAGCTTTGCTACAGATACCAGGGGGAGCGCTGGCAGCCACATGTGTACAGCAGGAGGCTCCGGCAGGATGCGGCTTAAAATCAGATGCACATGGCCCTGGTGGAGATGGGGGTTGCTAATTAAGGCTCGGAAGTTTGCAAAGGAAAAGCTGGAGGGGAGGAAAAAACTTGTTAACAATTAGCAGGTTAAATTCTCTTTAAGTCTGGAGGCCAGTGAACAAGATGAAGGACAGGGTTATTTCAAAACATTCATGGAAAATGGAATTAAAAGACAATTTTGCTTTGGTGCAAAAAAAAGTTTGAAGTGCTTGCATACAAAAGTCTTGCAAATGTTCATGGAAAATCCATATTCTGAAAAAATCATGTATGGATTTTAAAAATCTTTGCCCCGGAATGCACATCTTGGAATTTTGTTCTTACGTGGACTTTTTGGAGTACCTTTGCACTTAGTTGAGAAATTATCAAAACAGCACCACTCTCAGAACCTGTCCTGTCAGAAAGCCAAGAGCAGTGCACAAGTGTGAAATTATTGCAACTGTCCCACAGGGAAGTCAAAGTAGACAGAATACTGTCCCAGTTTTACAGAGCAGGCAGGCAAAGTCATGGCCATGATTCTTTTCCCTTGATTTCATTCCAGAAGGAATAACGGGGCCAGTGAGGAACCCCTTAAGAGTATGATTTTTTATTCCTCAGAGAGTATGTGGCTGTACTTGGTACCTACTCCAAAAGTGCCCATATGTACATAAGAAAGGGGGCATAGTAAGAACAGATATCCACATTTGCTCCTATTTGCATAAAGAAAGCTGGGAGTGTTCCCAGGAAGCTGGTGAGAGTGGGTTGCTGGGGCAGCTATGGGGAGAGTAAGGTGGATGAGCACGGAGGGTAGAAACAAACTTTGGTCAATGTGTAAATTTTTCTATCAGTTTTCTTTTTCTAAAATTCAAATTCATTTAGTTAAGAGGTAGAGGAACAGAAAGAGAAAGAGAGAGCGAGCTCCCACCTGCTTATTCAAATGGCCAGGACTGGCCTCAGCGGAAGAAACTGGGAACCACAGACTCACAGATCTCCCAGGTGAGTGGCAGAGACCTAGTGACTTGGGCCATCGCTGCTACCCCCCAGGACCTGCATTTGCAGGAAGCTGGAGTCAAAAGTGGCAGCTGGGCTATCAAATCCAGGTATTCTGATGTGGGATGTGGGTATCTTAACCAGGATCTTAACTAGCAGGCTAAATGCCCACCCCTCATTTTGCTTTTTGAACCATGAGAATGTTAACGTGAAAAGGCGTCTGCATTTCCCTCTGAGCAGGCTACATCTCAGGAGAGCCAAGTACAGCACCCGGCTCCTGCATCTCCTACAGATGAGCTCTGGAGAGGGAGCGTGCAATCCTCACTGTACCAAAAGCACACTTGGAGGGCCCTTCTCAAGGTCCACACGAATGTCATGGGCAAAACCAGCACCCAAATCTCCAAATCCTTGCCTGCTGGCTTCCATAGATGTAGACCTTCTCTTTTTTTTTATTTTTATTATTTTTTATTTTTATTATTTTTGACAGGCAGAGTGGACAGTGAGAGAGAGAGACAGAGAGAAAGGTCTTCCTTTGCCGTTGGTTCACCCTCCAATGGCCGCCGCGGCCGGCGCGCTGGGGCCGGCGCACCGTGCTGATCCGATGGCAGGAGCCAGGAGCCAGGTGCTTCTCCTGGTCTCCCATGGGGTGCAGGGCCCAAGCACCTGGGCCATCCTCCACTGCACTCCCTGGCCACAGCAGAGAGCTGGCCTGGAAGAGGGGCAACCGGGACAGAATCTGGCGCCCCGACCGGGACTAGAACCCGGTGTGCCGGCGCCGCAAGGCGGAGGATTAGCCTAGTGAACCGCGGCGCCGGCCAGACCTTCTCTTAATGGTGGTTAACTAAGCGTGAGAGACTCAAGTCCTCAGGTTCATTTGTTTCCTTATTTATTTATTTATTTTTTAAATCTGCCATGCTCCTCACAGCAACCAGAGTGATTTTATTAAAATACAGGGCCAGGCGTTTGGAGCAGCAGTGAAGACGCTGCTTGGGGCACCTGCACCACCTGTCAGAATGCCTGAGCTCAGGGCCTGGCTCTGCTCCTGGTTCTGTTTCCTGCTAAAGTGCATTGTGGAGGCAACAGGTGATAGCCCAAGTGTCTGGGTGCTGGTCACACCCGTAGCCTGGCTGTTGCAGGCATCTGGGGAGTGAAACGTGGTAGGAGATTTCCCTGGCTGTCTGTATCTGCCTCTCCCTGTCGCTTTGCTTTTCAAAGAAAAACCAACCAACCAGACTTGACCATGTTGCTCAAATGCCCCCATGAGACCTGAGAGCCCTTTTTGACTTAGCCGAAGCCCCAGCCCCTAGGCATTGACATGCTCACTGACCTCGCCACCTCACCCCGCCCCTCCTTTTCATGCACCACATTCTCCACGCTACACCATTTCCTGCCCAGGCCTCATGTGTGCTGTTGCCTCTCCCTGGAATGTCTTTCCCTTTTTTTCCTCTGGTGGATTTCTAGGGTCAAATGCCACTCCTGGAGCCAGCTGAGGACCAGCCCAGCCCCTGTGGCCTTCTGTCTTCTCTCCACAGCACCCTGAGTGCTCCTTTTTTTTTTTTTTTTTTTTTTTTTTTTTTTTTTTTTTTGACAGGCAGAGTGGACAGTGAGAGAGAGAGAGAGAGACAGAGACAAAGGTCTTCCTTTACCGTTGGTTCACCCTCCAATGGCTGCCGTGGCCGGCGCACCGCGCCTATCCGAAGGCAGGAGCCAGGTACTTATCCTGGTCTCCCATGGGGTGCAGGGCCCAAGCACTTTGGGCCATCCTCCACTGAACTCCCGGGCCACAGCAGAGAGCTGTACTGGAAGAGGGGCAACTGGGACAGAATCCGGTGTCCTGACCGGGACTAGAACCTGGTGTGCCGGCACCGCAAGGCGGAGGATTAGCCTAGTGAGCCGCGGCACCAGCCCTGAGTGCTCCTGTATTACAGCACCTCCCATGGCACTACAGCTGTACCTGCAGCGACCTGCCTCGCATCTGTCTCTCAGTGAACTGGGAACTCCTGCAAGGTAGGACCCCTGCCTGTTGCCTCTCTACTCCAGTGGTGGACCCAAGACTTGATGTCTGCTAAACAGTAGCAGTGACAGCTGCCACTTACGCAGCACCTCCTGTTTAAGCCCTTTCTGTTTAATGCCCCTATTCTAAGAATCTTCAACAAAGCCCCAGGACATGGGTTCCAGGGTTATCATGATCTCACAGAGGAGTGCAATGAGACACAATAACATAAACTGCAAAGCTAGTGGATGCCAGAGTCACATTTTGAATCCAGGAAGTCTGCCTCCTGAACCCAGCCTTGTAACCACTAGGGAACAGTGTCTGTAAATGAACACAAGTAACAATGAGAAATCAAACCCCCAGCTTCTCAGATCCCAAGCATAGCAGCCCAATGTGAGCACTCCAACCCCAGGAGCTCCCAAGGCACAGCACAGGCCAGCACCAAAGAACCTTGTTTTCTTTTACACATTGACATTGCTGCAACCAGAAGCACCAGAAAATCCACTCCAAGTTTCCCAGGCCCCCTCCAGGGCCACCCTGCATCCTTCCTATTACAACGAAACTTGAGATTTTGAGGTTTCTTCCCAATGACCTAGTTCCAAAACACAATGCATATGGAAAGAGCGAAGAGTTACCACTAACGCTCCATGCCAGCGGCCAGTGGTTTCTGCTCTACGCTCTTCAAAACTCTTTCTTGGAATTAAGCTCAGACATCTGTTTGAGCACCACAGCTGGTCTGCAGTCCCTGCCTTGCCCAACTGCTGATGGATAGGCCTCCGCCGGGGGCACGCTCAGCCTGTCGGCCATTGTTGCCCGCCAGGTCGAGGCAAATGAAGCACAGGATGGCTTCAGATGCTTCCCAGGGGTCTGTCTTCCCTCTCTCTTCTCCTAACCTGCTCAGGGTTGCTCTCAGGAAAGAAGAGTGCAACCTGGGCTTTTGCTGGTGAGCTGTCAGGATGATGGAGAGATGGGAGGATGAATCTCCACGGAGACTGCAGTGGGAAGAGAATCAGATTTGGAGACAAAGCTTGGGCTGGGGACTTGGCTGTGCCGTTCACTTACCTGGGGACTTGGGCTATGTTATTTACCATATTGGAGTCACGTCCACAAATGAGCTTAACAGCTTCCCCATGTGTTGTGAGGAAAAATGAAAAATTATATATAAAATGACCTTTTCATCTCAACAGTGGTTCCCAAGCCTGATTAGTTGTCAAAATTGCCAAGGATTTTTTTTTTTTAATTATAGATTTCTCATCCTTCTTAGGCTCGCTGAATTAAAATCTCCAGAGGAGGGTCCAGGAATCCGTGTTTTCAGAGACTTTTGGGTGTTTGTGAAGCACAGTCACAATTCTAAAGCATGGGACAAAGGCCAGCGCTACTATAACTCGATGGTGAAAGAAATACCAGGTCTGAGGATTATGATTAAAGCGAGCCTCCTAGGGCTGCCTGGCTTACAAGTGGAGAATTTCTAAGGGCTCTTGAATTCATTATGGCTGTCCAGAAAAGAAGCCCAGTTCTCTACCAAGTTGGAACTTAGGTGCCCATGCATTTGAAGATTACAGCCCTCCATGGATGTATAGATGGTTCTTCCATCATCATTCTCATAGAGAAAGAACAGCCCCAAGTAACATTTGCCCTCTCCCAGAACCTGGCAGAAGCAGGAGAAACCAGACACAAGATATTGCAAGTTTAGAAATGGGCTCCTGCATGTGCCATGTTGGTTTGAGTCCCAGCTCCTCCATTTCCAATCAATCTTCCTGCTAATAAGTACCCTGGAAGGCAGCAGATTATAGATACAGATACTTGGGACCCTCCCACCCACAAAGGAGATCCAGATTGAGTTCCATGTTCCTGGCCCAGCCCTGGCTGTTACAGGTAGTTAGGGAGTGAACCAGTAGATGCAAGATCTCTATCTGTGTCTCTGCCTTTCAAATAACGTGAAAATAAGTAGTTTAATAAAGGAGAAGAAGAAGCAGTCTCCTGTAGCAAAAGGCAGTCATCAAGTGCTTGAGACCCATCCTTGGGATCCCAGAGGGCAGGGAGAAGCAGAGGGACACTTGTCAATCGTTGGGGAGGGGGACAAAATGCTGAAGCGACAGTCCTGCAAGGCCAGGAAGTGAGAGAGTAGATGCCTGTGCGCTAGACCTGAGAGGGCCATCCACAGAGAGCCGCCCTCCGTCGGCCACTGCCTTCACTACCCCTGTGTCCCCATCCATCCGCTACAGGAGGCTTCCCAAGCATCAGACAGATGTGAAGGGTTGGCAGGGCGCTGGGAAAGATCATTCAAATACAGTGAAAGATCTCCAGTCCCCGGAAGTCTGATGACCAACGCCTTACACTGAAGATATGAACTTCTTCAAGAATGACTGAGCCTGTGCAGCTGTTCACTGCCAGTCAATGCCATTCTTTGATTCCTCAAGGTAAAGAAGACAGCCCCAAAGAAGGGAGTAGCACGTGTGTGACATTCACCCAACAGCAGTTGAAGGCCGTTATGAGATTTTCTGCTGAGTTCCCAAGTCTAAGAGGTTCTATCAGGTGACAAGCAAAGGGTTAAAAGCCAGCAAACCCACAGGGGTAAAAAGGAAAGAGATCCTGGAAGGCTCTTGGAAACCACTAAGTAACAAATGTAGCTCCCACCTCCCACCCACGCACCACTGGAAATAACTTTAAATAATGCATCTGAGAGTGTCTGCAGAACAGGCAGTCTGGATTAAGGACTTTTAAAGGGATGGTGTTCCAGCAAGATCCTTTCGGGGAAATCATCTTCAGAATTGTTGAACTCTCAGCCAAGTTCCCCATGACAAATATCCTTAGGCCAGCTTGCAGCTAGAGCTGAAATCCTGGTCCAGTAAATACCATCATATGGAAAAGTAATTTATAGCAAAAAAAAAAAAAAAAAAGTCTGGGGATCCTCCAGCCACCATACACCCCTCTTACCCCGAGGAACCCTGTGGAAGGTTCATTTCCACTGAAAAGAATTCCATAAAGAACTTGGCTGGTCATTATATATTTGTTGTTGAAACTGACCTAGAGTCATCTGTTCATTTAAAAGATACTAACTGAACATCTACCTTGTGCCAGATACAGTTCTAGCCTCGGGAATGCAGGCTAGAGGAAAGGACAGACAATAGACAAATACGTGCACTTCACAGTAAGTGTTTTGGGGAAAGAATAAATCAGAGAAGGAAGAATAAAGCAGGAAAAGAGGATCTTCCTGTTTTACACAGAGAGATCCGATGAGGCAATAAATGAATCAGAGAAGGCGCAGCCACGTGGTATCCATGTGAAGAGCTTTCTTGGTACAGGGACCGGCAGGTGCAGACGACCCGAAGCAGTAGCATGTTTGGTGTATTCAAGGAACAATGAGTAGGGCACGTGGCTTCAGCAGGTTGAGCATGGAGGTGGGTGATAGGAAGGAAGAGCCAGAGAGCTGGAAAGGGAGCCCAATTTGGAGGCTTTAGATTTCTACTTTGTGATGGGAAAAACACTGGGGCGCTTGGAGCAGTGAGTGACTCAGTCTGCCCTACAATTTGGAAGGCTCTGGGACTATTTTGACGAGGGTAGACTGTAGGAAAGTAAAAGCAGGGAGACGGAGTTGGAGGCGAGTGCAACCACAGATGAGTGAGTACTGGGGACCTGGACCAGCGTCGGGGGCGGGGCGGCGAAGCAGGCAGGTTTGCTGGTGGATGGGATGCAGAAAGAAGCAAGACCCTTAGGACGACTCCATGGTGTGAGACCTGCCTGTCTGGAAGGAAGGAATTACCCTACCGGGGGATGACAAAATTCCACAGGAGGAGCCATGTTTAAGACCAACATTCGATGTCTATAAAGAGATGCTGAGTATGGATAGTCCAGAAAACAGCCGCGAAGAGTGAGCTGGGATAGAAATGCAGGTGTTGTCAGTCGATGGCTGATACTGAAGGCCAGAAGTCTGGATGGGAACCTCTCAGGACTGGCTTCAGACACCATAAGAGAAGGGGTCCTTGGTTTCAGCCTGGGGCCCTCCTGTCTTTAAAGGAGGGGAGATGAGGGGCTGTAAAGGAAGTCAGAGTAGAAGCAGCTATGGAGGTAGGAAGACCCAGGGGGAAGAACCTCCTGGGAGTTATGTGACTTGTGCTTTGGTTCCCAGCGTGGCAATGTTAAGAGTGGGGGAATCTTTGAGATACGGGACCTAGTGGGAGGTGGCTAGGCTATGGGTGCTGCCCTCAGAAAGGTAAGGTTGATCTTGTGGGCTCCCATGTACTTCCCGTGAGCGTGAGTAGTTATAAAAATCAGGTCTTGACTCTCTGGCATCCAGTCCCGCCATGGCATTTCTGCAGGGGCTCCTTCTGTGGTGCCACTGTTTGCCATCAGGTCCTTACTGGAGGTGGAACAGATCTTAGACTTGGCCTCCAACACGGTCAGGGAAGTGAACCTCTCATCCGTGTGGAGTATTTTGTCACAGCAACAGAAGACAGACGACCACCTGGAGCGACTTCAAGGGTGCGTTTAGAGAACAGAGCTGGCTGCTCAGCACTGAATGCTGCTGATGCACAGTGGCACTGACCACTGGCTATGACCATGACCTTCACGTGACCAGTTTACATGGGAGGTGTGACAAAAGCCTGGCTGGAACAAGTTCAAGAGAGACGAGGAGGACAGGAAATGGAAACAGCCAGTGTAGACAACTCGTTGAGAAGTTTTATTGGTAAAGGATATGTTTTAACATTTTAGGTTATGCAAGAAAGGCCACAGCTGGGATGATCTTTCACACTGCTACGCCCGACGGCGTCAGGAGGCTCCTTGACGTGTGTGGGGGAACAGATGCCTACTTCTGATGTCCCCGTGGTGCATGCTACAGGTGGAGACTTATTTTAGGGAGGAAGAAGAGGAAAAACAAGGAGAGAGCAGGGAGAGAAAGGTGCAGGGAACATGTACAACCTTTTTAGGATATTTCAAGTTTCCTAAGCCATTTTTATTCCATCACAAACATCACAAACATCATAAACATTCCAAATTCCTATATACTCCAGAAAGTTCTCCAGGTACATTTAGCACAGGCATAGAATTTGGGGTATTTGTGGGTATCTAAGCCAGTTTACCTGAAAATGGAGGCTCAGACATGGGAATTGAATTCCTGGTTCTATTGATTATTAGCTGTATGGACTTGGGCAACGTATTGAATCTCAGTGTCTTAGTTAATCACCTGCAAAATAGGCAGGTAATAATATCTACCGCAATGGGTTGTAATGAGGATTAAGATAACCATCTTAGATTCTTAGACTAGTGTTGGCACATGGAAAATGCTCAATAAATGTTATTTTTAAGAATAAGATTTATTTATTTGAAAGTCAGAGTTACAGAGAGAGAGAGAGAGAGAGAGAGAGAGAGAGAGATCTTCCATCTGCTGGTTCACTCCCTAAATGGTTGCAATGACCTAGGCTGAGACAGGGTGAAGCCAGAAGCCAGGAGCTTCTTCTGGGTCTCCCATGCAGGTGCAGGGGCCCAAGCACGTGGGCCATCCTCCGCTGCTTTCCCAGGTGCATTAGCAGGGAGCTGGATTGGAAGTGGAGCAGCTGGGGGATGCAGCAGCCCATACGGGATGCTGGCACTGCAGACAGCAGCTTAACCCATTGCGCCACAGCGCTGGCCCTGATAAATGTTATTTTTAAATTCTTATTGCCAGAGTCACTCAAAGGATTTATATTAGACTGAAGTAGGAACGGGACAGTTCCCTCTCTCCACAGAACACACATGACCTGTGAGCTGGCTTTTCATCTCTGTCCCTTTAATGGCTCCAATCCAAAAGGTTTTCTGTATTCCATGCTATCATTATTATTAATATGAAAAGGCCTGAGATCAAAGGTCTGCTTTGTGCTCTGTTAATTTGCTTTTACAGATGTCATCATACTTACTCTTCACACAATCCCATCAGGCAAGTTAACTATGACACTTTCCAGATCAGAATGCAGGCATTCAGAGGTTAAAAAGCGCACCCGAAGCCAGAGGGCTGGAGGGAGCAGTGGGGTTCAAACCCGAGTCCGTCAGACTCCATAGCCTCCACAGATCCACTCAGCACTAAACACTGGGGCCATGTGCTGCCTCAGCCATATTCGTGAACCTGAAGGCCTAGGGTTTTCTGTCAGGTGGTTTTGGAACAAGAAAAGCACTGAACGAATGTAAACATTAGACCAGTTACAGACGCATCTACTTTTCTTGGGTGTGTTTAAAATCTTGGGTGAGAAGTCTACTTGCAGTCGAGTTCATTCTCACCAGGCAGGTGCCGACCCAGTGTCACGGGGGCTGGGCTGTTGGAAGACAGCAGGGGAAGATGACAGGAAGTCGTTTGCTGATGGTTGGCCAGCCCCGCTGTGACTTTTCACAGTTGCAGAACTGCCACCAACAGTTCCTGGAGAACATCGAGAAGTCTGGGGTCAGCCAGAAGGCACGGGTGGCGTCATCACAGGGGTGCAGCCATGGAAAATACACACTTTCCTAGGGGCTCTTTCCCCCTTTGCTGCGCTCAGGTACTAGGGAATCTAAATATAGCCACCATCTCCCCAGCCCGCACTGAGGACAACTGACACTGCCTCTGACGCCAGGAGTGTCCATAGTCTCCCACTATGGACCTGCAGGCACAGCCACGCCTAATGCATGTGGTAGACCACATGTTCCAGACACGGGGGTGTGACAAGGACACCCCCTCCCCACCCTGCCTCAGCTACTACCAGGAAAGTGCTTATGCTACTGCTGATGAGATTATCCTGTGGGACTACAGGGCAGGATCGATTCCCTGGAGTCAGTCCAGGGGTAGCAGTGTTTGCAAGGGTGGTGGGAGAGCAAGAGAGACTCCCCATGGCTTTGGGCCTTGCTCGCGGATGCTAGGGCTCCAGGGAGTCTGGCGATCCTTGAGGATTTTTCTGGCACTTAGAGGATGGGCGTTTTGGCCACACAGAGGCAACCAGGCCCTGGCTGAGAGGTGGACCTAAGGAAGTCACCGTGAAAACAGGCTGGTCTTAAGGGGAGCCCTGATCCAGAGCTTTGTGTTAAGTCCGGTTCAGCTTGTTACACTGTGTGTGGGAAATCTTGGTGCTGATCTCGGGCAAGGCCTGGGCAGAAGAGGAGGAGGGAGATGAGAGTACAGAGGACATGATTCTCTCTGTGATGTACACATTACATCCAAAGTCTTCCACTGGGATGGGTGGGGGGGATTTTCCCTCTCTCTCCCTCCAGCAAACCTTCCTGGTGTTCCCCTCTTCAGCCTGGGCTGGTAACCAAGATTTGGAAACTGAACCGGATCTAGCAGGCAGGAATTTCACCCAAGTGGGCAACATTGTGGTTGAGTTATCTGCCCGCCAGTGGAGACAGTCCATGTCTCCAATGAAAACCTGCTTATTATGCAACTGTGTATTTGATGCAGAGGTCTAGACACCACTTGAGATGTCTGCATCTATACCAGAGTGCCTGAGTTCAAGTCCTGGCTCTGCCTCCAATTCCAGTTAGCTGCTACTGTGCACCTGGGAGGCATCCAGTGATGGCTCAAGTCCTTGGGTCTCTGCCACCCACATGGGAGACTTGGGTTGAGTTCTGGCTCCTGGCTTCAACCTGGCCCAGCCCTGGCTGTTGCAGGAATTCGGGGAATGAATCAATGGATACAAGATCTCTTCTCTCTGCCTTTCAAACAAACAAACAAAGACAAACCAAAAAAACTTCCTTTGGAGACAGTTCAGACCAAATGTTCTGAGCCAGAGTTCCAGGGGGCACTGTGGGTCCCCCGTGGCACAGTGGACAGCACTTTCCCATGTGGGGAGTCCCAGCCCCTACACTTGTCCCAAGGTTCCTTGTTCCCTTCGGGGTTCTCGCCAGTGCCTGCCTGCTGCCACACCCCAGAGCTTCCCTGCCTGCAGAGGGACAGTGCAGCATGCAGAGAGAGCTCCTGCTCCAAGTCCTCCCTCCCCAGTCCCCTAGGCCTCTAAAGGCGAGGCTGAGAGGGGAGTGCAGGAATGACAGAAGCACGGAAGGAAAGCATTCGAATCCCTCTTTCTGGAGTGCTTCCAAAAGAGAGAAAAATCTTAATTTTGCCTGAAATTCAAAAGGTTGAAATCATGACCCCATCCCCAGCCTTGGGGGGAGGGGCACTGCCTCTCTCAGCAAATGGCCCCAAGGCTGGGGGACCTATTGGAGGCTCAAGCCCTCTCTCGCTGTGGTTTGCAGAGCCTGGCAATGCCTGGGGTGCCATATGTTGTGTGCTGAGACTCAAGCATAAACTTCTGCTGGATGTTTGGATTTTGGTTTTTTAATTATCCCCTCTTTTGAGAGAGAAAAATGGGTGTGTGTCTAAGTGTGTGCTTTGAAGGGAGTGGGGGCTAGGGAGAGTAAAAAGCTGATGGGGAGTGCACTCATTACTATGGGCTTTCTGACTCATGCCCAGCGCTGTGTATTTTGGGCTATAGATTAGGTCAATGGCCCTAAGAGGTGACAGCTCTGATAAAGCTGTGCCGGTCACCATGGTTCCAGTGACCCAGAAGCTTTCTGGATAGTCTCTGCAGAAGCTCCCTCTTTTAAAAAAATGTTGGTTTGTTTATTTTTATTTAAAAGGGAGAGTCAGACACTGCCCCCCCCCCCCCCGCACCCCCCTCCTCACACACACGGAGAAAGAGAGCACACAGGAGAGATTTTCATCTCTCATTTACTCCCAAATGCCTGCAACAGCTGGGCCTGGATCAGACTAAAGCCCAAAGCCTGGAACTCAATCCAGGTGTCCCACATGGGTGTCAGAGACCCAGGTAGCTGAGCCATCCCCTACTGCCTCCTAGGGTGCACACCAGCAGGAGGCTGGAATCAGGAGTGGAGCTGGGACTGGAACCCAGACATTCTGATGTGGGATGTGGGTGTCCCAAGCTGGGTTTTAAACACTGTGCCAAATGCACCCCACTCTCAAGCACAATTCTTGATGGACATTGATAGAAATGGCACAATTGTTCTAAAGAGGTACTGCTCCCACCCAATGCAATGCAAGCCCCATCCACGCCATGGAGTCTGACCCCCAACCTCCTATCAACAAGAACAAGAAATAACATTTGAGGGCTACTTATGTGCCAAGCACTTTATAATCCCTTTACATATATCTCATTCAGCCTTCAGAGCCCCTCTGTGATGCAGGCACTATTGTGTCCATTTCACACGTGAGCATTGGAGAAGGAAGAGAATTTGTACAAAGTTATACAGGCTGAGTGGGGCTTGGCCGATGCCTCAGCTCCTAACCACCTGCTCCCTGCCTTCCCGTCACCGCTGACACGGGTTCACCTGTGAGCAAGGCTGGTGCAGGAAGCACATTTATAAAGTGTTTAGGCCTAACCCTCAGCACCAGCAGCACCTCCAGCTTTGCTGCTGGGGAAACTGAGGCTCCCAGTGATTAACCAAATTCTCCTAAGAAATGGAACAGCCAGGATTCACAGCCAGGGCTGAGTTCGATCCTGTGCTCCCCCGTTTTACTACATTGTCCCTGGAGGAAGCGGCCTGCCTCTCAGCTGCTTCAGATTTGAAATAAAGGCACAAGATGATGCTCAGGAAATTCTCTTCTTAAATGTCCTATAATATGTTTGGCTAGGATTTTGGAAAAGGCTTACAAGTAAGGGCAGGAAGGCAGACTTAGGTTTCATGGGGAGACCTTCCTAATTGTCAAATATGTCCAAAAAGTCTGGATAGCCGCCTTGTAAGGGGGTGAGGTATTCAAGTTTGGGTTTTTTTTTTTTTTTTTTTGACAGGCAGAGTGGACAGTGAGAGAGAGAGACAGAGAGAAAGGTCTTCCTTTGCCGTTGGTTCACCCTCCAATGGCCGTCACGGCTGGTGCGCTGCGGCCGGCGCACCGCGCTGATCCGAAGGCAGGAGCCAGGTACTTCTCCTGGTCTCCCATGGGGTGCAGGGCCCAAGCACTTGGGCCATCCTCCACTGTGCTCCCGGGCCATAGCAGAGAGCTGGCCTGGAAGAGGGGCAACCGGGACAGAATCCAGCGCCCCGACCGGGACTAGAACCCAGTGTGCTGGCGCCGCTAGGCAGAGGATTAGCCTGTTGAGCCGCGGCACCGGCTCAAGTTTGGTCTTGATAACACTTAAAGGCAACATTGAGGGAGCAACTGTGGATTTGGCTGTCTGGTATGTAGACAGCCTTTACATTTTTTTTAACTAACAATAATTGTAGATATTTATGAGCCACCGAGTGACGTACAATACATGTATACAAGGTGCACCTGTTGGATCAAGGTGATCAGCATCTTCCTCTCTTTGACATTACTTTATGATTGCAACATTGTAGCTCCTTTCTTCTATTCACTCATAATATATAGTCAGGTTATTGTGAATACCCCCTAGGCATTGAAACACTAGGAACTCATTGCTTTGACCACCTCAGATTTGGTTATTTAGGGGAATTTAATATGGGTGTGCGGGGGCACTAAGGAAGCTGATGGGGCAGATGTCCCTGGCAGATGAAGCTCATACAGATGAATCTACAGTCCATCAGCCACCCCCACTAAGCACGTAGAACTTTAAGGAAGTGACCAGGACTGCAGTGACAAGTTTCCGGCGTCAATGTCCTTGGCATCCTGCCTGTTCCCAGAGCCTGGTTATCCAGGCTCTTCATCAGTTACGCAAGCTTCTGAAAATCTTTCTCTGCCTAAGCTAGCTGAAAGCGGCTTCTGACCTGGGAGAGAAGCGTCTGATGGATGGCTGGACCAGGCTACCAAGTCGGCCACGCCTCTGAGCTATTTGCAGTGCTCAGTAAAAACACAGTAAAAACAAGGACTTTCTTGATGAGAACCTGCAGAGGTAACCTTGCAGTGTATGTATTTTTTAACCCCCAACTCCAGCTCCCAAGGATTCTAAGAACAACTGGAGTAAGTAAGCTGTGAAGTCTCCAAAATAAAACTCTGAAAGACTCACCAAGAATTTCGGCAAAGCTCTCAGAAAAATGCAGATGCCTTCCTGCCTTTGCATTCGCTAATAAAGAGCTTATCTCCTGGGACAAATCAGAGGCTAAAGCTATGATGTCTCTACCACCTCCCTAGGATATTCCTTTGCAAGGGCTGTTGGTCTTAGAGATCTATTGCCACTATGGGTAAAAAGCCATCCATGTGTTCCTTCCTCAAGTGGATGAAAGCCAGGCTTTCATGCACAGCCATCCGGTGTCGCAGAGCCAGTCCATCAGCTGGCTTCTTACTTCCCATGCTTGCCACACCAAGGCCTCTCTTCATCACATGGGGCTTCTTGGAGGACTCCCCTTGCACCTGCTGTGTGCCGTCAGGAAAACCTCAGCCCCATTCTGGCCCTCAACTTCCCTGCTGGAAAATGAGGAGCACAATTGCCAGCTTACTTTGCCCAGTGTCAAGGCAGAAGAAAAGACAGAGATGGGGCTGGTGCTGTGGCGTGGTGGGTAAAGCTGCCACCTGCAGTGCCAGTATCCCATATGGGCGCTGGTTCGAGACCCGGCTGCTCCACTTCTGATCCAGCTCTCTGCTGTGGCCTGGGAAAGCAGTAGAAGATGGCCAAGCCCTTGGGCCCCTGCATCTACGTGGGAAACCCAGAAGAAGCTCCTGGCTCCTAGCTTAGGATCAGCACAGCTCTGGCTGTTGCGGCCAATCGGGGAGTGAACCAGCAGATGGAAGACCCCCCCCCCCCGCCTCTCTGCGTCTCCTCTCTAACTCTGACCTTCGAATAAATAAATAAATCTTAAAAAAAAGACAGAGGCACCATCTTGAAGTTCGGGTTATAAAAGAAGCATTTGGGAGAAGCGAGATGCATATGGAGTCAGCGCTCTGGGGCTCAGCTGAGAAGTGCACATCCCTGTGCCACCACTGCTCATTCCTCCGGGAGCAACACTTCCACTTCTCCTGGGAAGCTCACTGCTTGTAAGAAGCTGCACTTGAAGCTTTTGGAGTTCACAGGCTTCGGGGCTTGCTTTGCTTTCAACGCCATGAGTAAGAAGGTACCTGCGAAGCCCGTCTAGTCTTTCCCCTTGCCTCCCAGCACTCAGATTTTTGTCTTCAGGGCTGTCTGGGCGATGTCTGGAGTAAGAAATTCCAGTCTCCCTTGGCAGCCTTGCTGGTGCTCAACGAGGCTGCAGAATGCGAGGGGGGAAAGGAGCTGGGGCCAACTAGAGCTTGGCTGTGCCAATCAATCACTCAGGGGCAGGGCGGAAGGAAGCAAGAGCGCCTCCGTGTCCATTTGAGCTGCTGAGAAAGCCCCTGTGGTGTGACGCACCCCCTCCGCATGCCCACGGCCGCCCCGGGTGTGCCTCTGTCCAGGCAGCGCTTAGGAAAGTGAACTGAGAGTCCACCTCCTCACCCTGGAAGTGCACATTGGCCACCATCCTGCAAAGGACGTGGAGGACGGCCCGGCCATCTGGTTTCTGTAAAATCTGCATCCGTATAGTGCACATAAATTTATCTTCCAGCTCCTTCAAAATGTACACAGCTGAATTCTACTGCTGACTTTGGCACTTGCTCCCAGTATCTGAGAAGAACAGATTCAATTAAAAAGGAAGTAACAGATGCTGCAAATCATTCCCTCATTTTCAGAGCCTTTTTTTTTTTTTCCCAAATGCCCTGAATTACTTGATGATGAACAGCAATGCAGCAAAAAAAGCTGGCATGACAACTTCAGCTTGGCTCCCAACCAAGGGGAAGCTGTGGGTTCCCCTTTCTAGGTGGTCTTTATGCCCTGGCACATTCTTTTGTCTGGTTTGGGAACTGTTGTGTAAATAACTTCGCTGGGGGTGGAGGGGTGGACGAGAGGAACCCTGGGGCTCTTTTTAGTCTTAAGAGTCTTTGCTTTTACTAACTTGTTCTCAGTGTGGCGTCAAGGGGACAGCAAAGGCAGGGTTAGTATTCCCATTTTAGAGACGGAACAACAAAGGCCCAAGGAGAGTAGGTGATTTGCTTAAACTTGAGCACAGGAAACCAGTTGTGTCAGGAACCCCACACGCATCTGAGCCCTGACGAGGGAGCAATGAGACCAAGGCCAGGCTGCCACGCCTGGAAGCACGCTCAGATGTCTATAGCGGTAAGGATCCCGGCATAGGTCCTCACAGAGCACGCGGGCTGACAATGCACGGCCTTCCTCGCCTCCCACTCAGACCTGCTTGCCGATCCCACACCTTGGTCCGTGCTCAGCTGCACCCTGCCTTGTGGCCTGCCTGGGACTCAGGGGTGACCATTCTGCCCTTGGTGACCTGTGCTGGACTCGCCTGGCCGGACAGGGAGGAAAGAAAAAGGGAAAGTAGGAGATGGATTTTTGAATAGAATCTACTCGCCTCTCCTCTTTTTCCTCTAAGGACTAAAATGATTAAGAATCCCAGGATTTGGACAGAGGATGCACGACCCCTCCTCCTCCCCGCCCTCCCCACAAAATATCAGATGTAGAGATTTCGGAAGCCTGGGGAGGCTGAGACGCTTCCTGTTTAAAGAGGGAGCCTTGGGGCCCCTTTGAGGCCATGGTGCAGGGGATCATGGACGCAGAGGCACAAAGTCAGGAGAACCCAGGGCCCCTCCTCCACGACTCTGGCTGTCCTCAGGCGGCTGGGCACCCGCACGTCCCAAGCCCAGCACT